CCTGGGGGAGGAGGCAGAGAAAGTGTGGCAGCAGTTACCTCACCCGTGGGCCAAGAGAATTCGCCATATCCAAGCTTCGTGTTCAGCCCAAACTGCCCCCGGTACACACAGCCGTCCGGCCACTCCTGCACACCGTGGACCAGCTGCACATGGGCCTCCTTCAGGTCCTGCACCCTCAGTGGGCCCTCAGATTCCTCCTCTTCCTTCTCAGAGGCTTCTGAGACATCCCTAAAAGGACAGGAGCAGAGGGAAGAAGAGCGGGATGGCTGCAGGGCCTTCAGTGGCTACTGAGCACAACCTGGCGTCTCATTTCACCCCTCAGCCCCAGGGCAGGTGCTGCTGCACCCCGCTCCACGGGAGGGAACACTGAGGCACAGAGGGTGCAGCGATGGCCGCGGTCACACAGGAAGTGGAATGCACAGTAAGGCTGCCAACGGACAGAGGAGACGCTGCCAGGCCCGAGAGGCAGGACCCGTCGGCCTCTCCAGCCCGGGCCTGCTGGCTGCAGCGCCTGAGATCCAGGACCTCTGGCCCACTCCAGCTGCCTGCCGGATGTGGGTGCTCACAGCCAGGTTCTCATTCAAGGGCCAGCAGTGCCAGCCTCAAGCTGGACAGAAAGCAGACCATACATGTGGGCCCATGGGAGGTCAGAGGCCAGCTGGAGAGGCAGCCAGCTCAGACTAGGATGGACAGGTGGATGGATGGACAGATGGAAGGGGCAGGGCTGGGAGTGTGCTACAATGAGGGGGCACCAACCAGGGTGCATTTGCCATAACTCGCAGGGCGTCCACAGACGGGCGGGGCGTCTCAGACCCCCACAGACGGGCTGGGCGTCTCAGACCCCCACAGGTGGATGGGGCCTCTCAGACCCCCCACAGTCGGATGGGGTGTCTTAGACCCCCACAGGTGGACCGGACGTCTCAAAGGGGCTTCCATTCTCAGCTGTGCAGGGCAGCAGTCCCTGTCTGGGGAGGGTCCTCTTCCTGGAGTGGACTTCTCACTGGGTCCCCACACGGTGGTGAGAGAGGATGGGGGAACTCTGGGCTCTTCCACTTCTCATAGGTACACACATCCCATCATGGGGTCCACCCTTGCCACCTCCCAAAGCCCATCACACTGGCCAGGGCTGGGACTGAGTTTTGGAGGCCCACAAACAGGGGCGAGCGTGATGGGGTGACCCTGGGACCTGGTGAGGCTGCAGTGAGGCCCCGGGGCAGCCCTGGCTCAAAGCAGCCCTTGCTGTGAACAGAGCTGTGAAGTCGGGGCCCACTCGGGAGCCCCGTCTCGCGAGGGAAACGCTCCCTCCTTCCACTAGGGGGCAGCGTGCAGGCGGGAAGGGGCAGGAGAAGCTCCTGTGTGTGACCATCTACCGGCGTCTTCCTCGGTGGTTGCTGACACGTGTCGGGGCTTTCGGATTTCTCGGGGAGTGACAGCCCTTTCCAGTGCTCGCCTCAGGGAGCACCCCGGCTAACCCTGGGCCCGGGTCAGGGTCGGGCCTCCCTGCCCGACGCCCCCCGCACCTTGAGGCGAAGACAGCATCGCTCCGCGGGGACCCCGGCTCCTCGGCATCGGGGGTCTCGCCGCCCGTCCCCTCCAGCGGGCGTTGGGGGCTGCCGGCCCCAGAGGCTCCGTCGTCGAAGCTGAGGGACGCGTGGCCCCCGTCCATGTCTGTGAACTTCCACCCTGGAAGCAACGCCGGGACCGCACATTTGCCCCCGGGGCTCCTGCCGGGAACTCGCACTCGGAGTGCCCCGGAGGTCCCGCCCGAAGCCCGTGGGTCTCAGAGAACCCAACCCCCGCCATGAACCGCGCGGGAGCCCGGGCCGCCGTCCCTGGGAGTCCTGAAGGAGGCCTGTCGGAACCCTCCCAGACGTCCCTGCCCCTTCCTGGGCGGGGACCATAGCAAGAGCGGTCGTGGCCATGTGGCCAGATCAGGTCCGCGCCCGCCATCGCCCAAGGGGCGCCGCTGACAGCGGGTGTCCGCCACGGGCCTCAGAAGCCAGCGCCCACCGAACCAAACACCCCCAGGCCCTGGGCCCCTCCCCAGTGGCCTCCCCCACCCGCCGCCCCACGGAGCTCGGGGATCCCCCCCAGCCCCGGCTCCCAGCGTCCCTGCCGCGCGGGCCGCACCAAGCAAAGCTCAGAGAGCTCCCACCGGACAGCGCGGAGACCAAGGGGACCGCAGCCACAGCGGACGCCCGCGCCCCCGCCCTGCCTGCGCGCCTGAGCCGCTGGGGAGCGTCGCGTCGCCCTGGAGACAGCCCCGCCCCGTACCCGCTGCCGCTCGCCGGCTCCGCCAATCCCCGCGCCAGGACGCGCTCGGCCCCGCCCCGGGGCGTGGCCGCCCTCTGGGACTTCAGGGCTCGGAGGCTGCCCGCCCGGCCTGGCGGCGTGGGTCCCAGCCTCCCTGGGTCCCTGGGCCGAGTGCCCCGGGGGGAGAAAGCGCTAAATTCTCCCAACACTCCCGCGCCGTGGGATTTCTGAGTGTTAACTTGCCCTGATCACTGATCACCTAGCACGCGTGGAGCCGCGGCTTCATCAAGCCCTGCCTGACGACCCCAGCCTTCGTCCATTCAGTGAATGTGGAAGGCGCAAGGGGAGCCCGAGGCCTGCAGAGGGAAGATGAGGGAGGCCGCAGGAGTCACCGCAGAGAAGAGGGATGGGCTGTCTTGTCTATGAGAAAGCCTGAGAGAGGATTCCTCATGGGGCCTCACAGGATGCACAGGAGCTCTCCAGGCTACAGAGCAGTTTTCAGGCAGGCACCATGGTGGGAAACAGGCCTTCCTGGAAAGAGGGGAAAGGCTCTCGGAGGTGCAGGGCTTGCGTTTCTCAATCCAGACTGCCTTTGAGAACAGGGTAAGGGTGTGTGAAGAGCTGACGCCTGGGCCCGCCCCACTGGATAGCTTTTCCAGGACTCAGGCCTAAGGCTGGGCCAGGAATCTGGGGCTCTAGGGGCACCGCCTCCACACGCCAGTGCCTGTCTCCGAGTTCACTTCTCTCTACAGTCATTTCTCATTTTATACCATGACCCAGTACAAACAACTCAGAAAAATGTCTCATTAAAAGTTCACCATACTACATGCATGCACCCTAGTATTTTCATGCACTCTATTCTATACCATTTCTCTAAAAATTAAAATGGTGATCATAACCCACAGAACTGATTTCACAGCCCACATCAGTTGTGAATTACAACTTGCTAAGGAGTCAGAATCAACATGTAGAAAAGCTCCGTCTTAGCAAGCATTCTGGTTACACCGTGGGAGGCTGGCACCGTGTCCAGGAGGCAGAGGCTGGCCCAGACTAAATGTGGCAATGAGGTACACAGACACTTAGGATGAATTGGTTCCCAATCCATTAGCTCAATGGGGTGTGAGTATGATGACTCAAGTAGACTTTTGGAGCACAAAACTCAACCAACCACCAACTATAAACGGTGATGATTAATGAAACAGTCCAGAAGGAAGGGTTTCAGGTTTTACTGGATGCATTTCAGCGCCCAACAATGGCATCAAGGACCAGGGCTCTCCCATCTCCTCTGCTTTCACCCAAGGCTGGTTCCCCTTATGGCAGTGAGAGAACAGAGGAGCTTTCCAAAGCTCTCTCCTTCATGAGTTATTAGACACCAAGCCTATTTTGCCAGAGCAGTCACGGGAGCGTGGGCTTCAGTGCTGGCCAGAGACAATTAGGGCCAACTCCTAGGAGGTGGAGAGACTGTGTCTCAACCTAGTCAATGGCTCCCATGAACTCTGGTGGGGAAAAAAGGGGAATTCCACTCCTTCATCTCAGGAAAGTTGAGAGTCCTTCCTTAGGGTAGAGGAAGTGGGAAATAAGACGTTGGTAAGACCTCCGAAGAGATGACGTCTGGAGCTGCAACCAGTGAGGACCTGGCTACAGACCTATTTCAGTCTTCAGCTCAAGAGTGAACCCCAGGCTGCAATCAAGATCTGACAGGTACCAATGTTAGGTGGCTGATGGAATGAAACAATGAAGATAATAAGCCCGAGAGAGACTGTATAAAACGGAAACTTCAATTACTAATGTCTGTAGGGCTGTGAGACAGCTGCTTTTCACTGAATCCAATCCCCAAAAATGACCAGATACCAGAAAAACTGAAGGGGTCTTAAATGGCAACTTCATGGACATTATATGATATTAAATTTTAGAAAGTTACAATGCTGACCCCAATAAATTACTAAGATAAAAACAAAAGGAATAGTGGTCTATGTAGTGATGAAAATAGAAATTACAGTTTTATTTTATGAGTCGTGTTACAATACATAGAAAAAAATGCACCAGTTACCCAGCCTGGCCAGCATGGTGAAACCCTGTCTCTACTAAAAGTACAAAGACTAGCAGGGCGTGGTGGTGCGCGCCTGTAGTCCCAGCTACTCGGGAGGCTGAGGCAGGAGAACTGCTTGACCTTGGGAGGCGGAGGTTGCAGCGAGCCGAGATGGCGCCACTGCACTCCAGCCTGGCAACAGAGCGAGACTCTGTCTCAAAACAAAAAAAAATGCACTAGTTACAAAGAGGGTCACAAAACGGAATAAACATAAAGCCAGCCACGTGGTCACATGAGAAAGGGGGAGGACACGGGAACCACGCGGCCCGCGGTCCACAGCGCGGGCCAGCAGCCACGAGGTCCACAGCGCGGGCCAGCAGCCACGAGGTCCACAGCGCGGGCCAGCAGCCACGAGGCCCTAGTGGAACCACGGGGACACGCAGTGCGCTGACCCGGCCAGGCCACGCCCCCGCGCCGGGCGCCGCAGTCCGCACAACACGCGCACTGCGTGCAGCGCCAGGGACGGCACTCGGCGCAGGCGCAGGCCCAGGCCCGCAGGGAGGGGGGCGCGGCGCCGGGGCACGG